ATGAGGTCTTGGTGTAAAACAAAAACGGTGAAATCTCCCCTTTAGCATTTTCACAAATAAAATAAAAGTTTCACAGATACAATCGTAGGTGTCAGGCAAAGCTGATGTCTTACCTAAACTGTCTAAAACGTTTTCACATCAAGAAGTGTCACAAAAAACAGACAATCAGTGGACAAACAGTCGCACTGCACAATAAGTTAATTTCCCCTCGGAAATCGGAAGCCAACTTCAGCGTCGTGTGAGCCAAGTTGGCTCATCACGTTTTTAAACAGCATCTAAAGCACAGTTAAACTTCAAATTTCGACTCCACACAGTAGTAGTACAATATCCTAGGTCTCAACAAGTAAACCCAGTAGTCGGAATATTATTACACATTTATAACACATTTCACCTCGATCAGGAATGACACTGACAGGCTTAACTTTGCCACGCTAACGTTAAATTGGCTCGCTATTTCACTGCTGACTGATTATTTTCTAATATATAAGCTACCTTTTCGCTGTAGCACATACTTTTACAAACAATAAAGTTGGTCTTACCTACATGTCCGTCCGCTCAATGATAATGACACTGAACATGGCTGTGGGGTAGGCGGGTTATGCAACGAGCTGTCGAATCACAGCACAGCAGCTAAATGAAACCGACCAATGGGTGCGGGTCAAGACAACCCCATTGGCCTGTTTCATTTGTACATGAGCCAGTAACAGCCTCTGAAATCGATAAGCGCAAGGATGACGCAAATTCGTGAAGCGTTTCTCATTTAGATTGTTCGGCTCAGAGTTGTGTTGGATGGCTCCTCTGGCTTCATGATTTCTAACTTTAATAACTGAGATGGACACAACTGTCATGGTTCGGTTGTTTATTGAGAAAATGAAACATAATGTGAAATGATGGTATTCCAGAAATTAAAGGGTTTAGTATTATTACTGATTTAAGTGTTTTAAATTAAAATACAAGATGGCGCCACGAACGGTCTCCTCAGTGTGTACATTGTTTTTTCTTGTTTTGTTTCCAATTCAGTTTTCTGCTGTGATACCCGGAGCTCTTTCACTAGAGAAGAGCTCATGAACATCAGAGGAACAACTCCATCTGATAATGGCTAATGTCCCAATAAACATTAATGATACTGTAAAGCCTTATTGTTTTTTTACAATAAAGGCTGCATGAGACAACTTTAGGCCACTGATCTATTTGATAAATGACCTAAATGATGAACTGATTAACAACATTGGTGATCACTGCTCTGTCAAATCACTAATCAATTAATAATAGTTGTTTTCTCACTAAACCTTAATCTTTTTAACACTTTTTTAGAATTGATATAATCTAATTAATAAAATCTATAAAATCCCCAAGCAACCATATTAACCAGTCATTATAGTGTCAATTCTTTCCTATTAAGATTAATTTATATTTTTTCATTATTTTTTTTACAAAACACAGAATACATTTCAAACTCAGGAATGTAACTCATTATTGTTTATAGTCAATAAAACTTTAAACAGACACATTTTTTAAATGTGGAAAAGGTTTAGATTAAACATGAAATAATTCTTTTTGACCACTTTATTTATTCACAATATCTCCTGCTACCACTCTGATCATATTGCCTTCCTCAATGCTCCTCTGGGAAACAATGAACGGTCATCAATGACAGAGAACATATGAACTGAATCATTATTCTGTGTCAGCTTCACGCTCAGAAGGAAATATCACGACTCATCATCGTGGTTAGCGAGACCAAACACTTTAGAAACACATTTCTCAAGACAGAAACTATAGAAATGATCCCTGAAAGTATAGTCTTAGTGTGATTGAGGGTGAACACAGCAGGTCATTCACAGGACTACCGTTCTCACTCAGGGTTCCTCTCTGCTGTCTCCTCTTTCTGTCTCCTCCAGTCATATGTGTTTATGTAAATGAGACAGCATAGCACAGCCAATCACTGCGAGACTCTGAGAGCACCGCTGTGATAAAGAGAGCACACAGACAGGAGAGAAAGGCAGCACTGGGATAGAGAAAAACTTTGGTTTTAAAGGATCTATTTGTAAGATTGACAGCACATGTTTAAAATGGGTACTGTAGTCCAAATTCATAACATTGTAGCAAGTTGTCTCCCCTGGGTTTCCAGGTTGAGGACACTGAACCTACAGTTCAAGACCTTCTCCCTTTGTAGATCATCAGGTCATCAAAACACTTCACTGTTTGTACATTTAAAATAAACATTATCAATGTTATACCGACGATTATTACAATTAGAGTTTAAGCTGATTCATGTTTATATCATATTGTTTGTTTTTGTAGTTGAGGTATTTATTAAAATAATGCTGTAATAATTATTACTTTAAAATGAACCCATCAGTAAAGGTGAGCGTTATGAGTTGATGAAAGAAGGATCACATTAAAAGCCATCAACTACTTTATTAATCATGTATAAATGTCCTATTTACAGAGCAACACAGGCAGATGTCCATACTCACAAAAGGGATTAGACAGCATTGTAATGAAATGATGAGTTATTGATAATGGTCGTGAAAAACACGAGTTACAATAGTTATAAGTGAAAAATGTCTTAAACCTACCCATTGTACATAGTATATGACTAAACTAATGATAGCAACAATAAAAGTTATAATAATAATAGAGCAACAATAATAAAATATAGTAATCAAAGATTTCAGTACTCGCTATTGTAGTTTCCAGATTCAAGTAATTTTCACCATAATGTTTTACAATATAACTCAAGGCAATGTAATGACCTTACTGTAAAAGTAATGCAGAAAGTGAGAATATGGATATAAACAGTTACTGAATACAATAAAGAACAAAAGGATTATAGAGTGACTGTAGCTACAGGTTCGAGGCTCTGACAGTCTGTCTGGAAGGCGGCAGCGTTGAGAATAATTAGACAGAAATTGTGGTGTTGTACTGTGCTGTGGACTAGTTCTTAGCAAAGAGTTGATGTAGGAAAGAAACAGGTGGAGAATAAGACCACCCTCTCCTCTTTAGGTCTCCACTAGATTATATAAATAAGATACATTATATTGTGCAGCAAGCACCTTAATATGGCCTAAAAACAATCCAACTCACTGTTTGCTTCCATCAGGTTTCGTCCGGTCTGATTGGTCCTTATGGTCGTTGTAGTCCAGGGCTGTGAGCAGGGTTCTGGCCTCAAAGGCTGCAGAGCTAAATCATACATCAGTGTGTGATTCTGCACAGACTCAAGATCAGCTGGAGATCTGTGAAAACATACAGTTATGGGCATTTATCTAGCTTTTTATTCTCATTGTTCAAAAACAAACACACAAATGAGTTCAGGTACTTATGAACTCACTTCAGCCATTGCTTGTTCCTGATAATGTCTGTCAGAGCCTCATGAGCCTCCTATGAGCCAGTACTGTGTCCCATTGTGTTAATGCAGTCATGTTGTGTTCCTTTGTCATATGGTGAGCAGTCCCAGCCACAGCTCCTGGAAAAATAAATAAACATAAACCCTTTCTGCCATGAAGTTGATCATTTCATCTTAGTTTATGACTTCCTGTGTTGATGAATAAATATGCTTGTTGTTACATTCATCTACAAAATCATTGACTTAAAGCAGCTGGTCTGTACACTTTAGATTACAGATGGTTTATATAGGATAACATAGATAAATAGCTAGCAGCTAGGGATGGGCATGAGTTATGTTACTCTATATACTATAAATCACATTTGCCAATTGAGTCAATCTACAGTCATAATTGTGTTTCTGTTGTATATTTCTGTCGAGGTAGTAAACAGGGCGGTCCGTCCCATACACTCCTCTGTGTGCCTGATAGCGGTCCAACTGCTCCACAGTCCGCATGCAATATGAGTGAAACTGGCGCTATCAGGCACAGTTCACGGGCCAAACTATAATAGTCTCCTAACTGTGTCCTCGCTTGGTTTATTCCATGTACACGTCTGTGTCTGGTTGCGGTCTGTGCTCCAAAAAAGCGACCCCCAGAAGTTTCCTTTGGTTTGTTTGAATGAGTGAGGACCATATATATATATACTGTCAATGATGAGGACCATACTGTCAATGATGAGGACTGAGGAGCAGAGAGAGCGCCGGTAACACAGCCGGTGAATCAGAGAAATAAACCGTATTTTAACTAATATTAAAATGCTTTCACTAACGTCTCACAGCGGTTCTGTTCAGCAAAAACATCTCCACACACCGACACACCACCCCGAGCTCCACATAAGTCCTGAAGTCCTTTCTGATACAAAGCTGTCTCCATCTTTCAAATGTATCTCCAACATTTACCCATGTTTGACTACGTCTCTGGTCATGGGTTTATACAGATGCAGAGGCTGTTTAGGTCGGACAGACTCCAACATTATCTCTGCGGATACTCTCATTGCTGCCATGGCTGCAGCTCGCTGTGTTCACGCAGACATTAGGTTCATACCTGGCAACCCGGTTTGTCCAAACAGGCGCAGTCACACAGGACAAAACATAAAGAAAATTATTGTCAGAGCAGACAGTATTTCAATTTAACATGTTTACTGTAATTTTATCTTTTTAATATAGTAAATATTTTACATATTGTTCATTTCAGTAATACAAGAGAAGAACAAATATAGAAAATTACAATTACTACATTTAGTCAAAGTTTGAAAAGTAATTAAATCAAGATTAAACATTAACCACCCCTTCATGATCTATACCTGCTATTATAATGTAACAGTTCAGATTTACTTTTTAACATGATTAACTACCACTCTGAACATATTCCCTTCCTCAATGCTCCTCTAGGAAACAATGAACGGTCATCAATGACAGAGAACATATGAACTGAATCATTATTCTCTGTCAGCTTCACGCTCAGAAGGAAATATCACGACTCATCATCGTGGTTAGCGAGACCAAACACTTTAGAAACACATTTCTCAAGTCAGGAACTATAGAAATGATCCCTGAAAGTATAGTCTTAATGTGATTGAGGGTGAACACAGCAGGTCATTCACAGGACTACCGTTCTCACTCAGGGTTCCTCTCTGCTGTCTCCTCCAGTCATATCTGTTTATGTAAATGAGACAGCATAGCACAGCCAATCACTGCAAGACTGAGAGCACCGCTGTGATAAAGAGAGCACACAGACAGGAGAGAAAGGCAGCACTGAAATAGAGAAAAACTTTGGTTTTAAGTAAAGTAAGAAAAGTTATAAAAAGTTACAATGATTACATTTAGTCAAAGTTAAGACACTACTTTTACTCACTAACTAGAAGAAATATTACAGACCAAGTTTAAATTAATGACACTGTAAAATTGGATCTTTCTTCTCATTTGTTTTGGATAGTACAATATAGTCTGCATTATTCCAGGCAGAGAAATGTTCTGATTGGCAGAACCTCTACACTATTATGTCATTAATTTATGTTTAAAAATACACAAGTTACGTCAATATATATTCAAAATAGAGTTGTTGTTTTTTTACAATGGTAGTTTTGAAACCACAATGATTACTTTACTCATATTTACAATATATACATCTGTCAACTATGTTTACTAATAATTATGTTGTGTATAAAATGTTAGAAAATATAGTGAAATGGAAGTACCTGGAATCCTACCTTTTTATTTTAATTACATATCAACTACACTAATATATCATTTTTTGTTTAACCAAGTTGTAGAAAACCACTCTGATCATATTCCCTTCCTCAATGCTCCTCTAGGAAACAATGAACGGTCATCAATGACAGAGAACATATGAACTGAATCATTATTCTCTGTCAGCTTCACGCTCAGAAGGAAATATCACGACTCATCATCGTGGTTAGCGAGACCAAACACTTTAGAAACACATTTCTCAAGTCAGAAACTATAGAAATGATCCCTGAAAGTATAGTCTTAGTGAGATTGAGGGTGAATACAGCAGGTGATTCACAGGACTACCGTTCTCACTCAGGGTGCGGAGGCAAAATTACCAAAACGACCAAATAATGACACGTAAACATAGTATAACCGTAACAAAGTCACAATAACACAACTTTAGTCTGAATCGACAACAGAGATGTTCATTAAATGTTAGAATTCAACTTCTTATTACCCACAATGCTTTGCGCTTTGAGTCACGCACGTCCGTTAATTTCTTTTTACTCATTTTTTGACGTTTTGTACGACTCAACACCTTAACAGATCGGGCTGCTGGGACAATTAACGTTAATATAAATCCAAAAGGGACGAGGTTTTAAGTATTAAAAGTAATTAAATTTAGTTTCAAACCGTTTTTACGAGATACATTCTGAACGATGCAGCGTTAATAATGCTCCGGGCAGGAACATGGCACCGCAGGACAGTTCCGTTTACAACCCTAACAACAGACCCGTTTTGCTTTGAGGGTTTCTGGAGCATCAACTTAAGTAATTGAAACGACGACAACTAACACGCATTTGTGGTCTACCTACAGATAATGTCTCGGTACGTTGAATATCGGACAAACCCTGTGGTCATTTTACGTAAGTTACCATAACGGGAACGTCTTCACTGGTGCCGTTTTATGAGCAGTTGCTAGGTTACGACACATGAGGGCAGCCTTTCATTATAACGTTAACATTAACATTTCTTCGACGAGGGGTCAGTTTTGATGAGTATTTTTCTTTTAAATTATCCAGTGTATGCTATGTTTACAGTTGAAAATACCCTATCACCATTTGCCTTCCTAACTTATGACAACTTAACGTTACATCAACATATCAGTGAGTTAATTAGAAAAGTGGACTGTCTCTTCTAGCTATCACTGTAACCACCGACGACAGGTGAGATTAGGGTTAGTTTTTACACGTCTGTAGCTCTATAAACTAACGTCACAGATAAACTTCACCAAACACACATTATAATGAACAAACTTGTGAAAACGAATCAGGAAAAACTGGTGATACTTAGCTGGCACACCGGTATCCCTTTCACTTTACTATCCAGTGTGCTAACGCTAAGTAGCTCGCTAATAAGTCAGCTAAGTGCTTCAATTGCCCCACAGCCAGCTTCGTCTCGGTGTCTCATTAGGACCAACATAAAGTCAAAACACGTACTACAACTTCATTGGTCCCTTTCTGTCAATTAAAAAAGTAGTCGCGGAAAGAGTTTCATTGCGCATGCTCAGTGAAAACCACAGACGTCCTCTTAAAATAGTTTATTCATGCATGAAAATTCATTCACCAGGTCCACTGATGTGACAAACATCCATTATTGATAACACGATGGAGATCATTTATATTATGAGAAATAACTTCTATGGAAACTAACTATGAAAAAAAACAACTGCAATTTCTTACACATATAGACTTTTTCCTTCATTTCAATATATTCAAAATATATTCCTTATTTCACCCCAAGACGTCCAAATATTCAATTAAAAATATATTACGACATTAAAGAAGGGTCAGTGAATCATACAGTACATCTTTTAAGTTCTGTTGTTATTAAAAGCTACATGGTGCTGAATTATTTGCTGGAAAAGTGATTTCCTATGTGACATTTTTCAGATGAGATAAGGAATGGGTAGAAGGCACCTATGTTGATATCTATGTCCTATATAGACATACTGTATATATGCCATACATGCAACTAAGACTAACACAAAGGTTAAAACATTAAGGATTCAGTGATGTCAAATATTGAAATTACAAAAAAGAAATCTCTTCCATTGTCTAGTGCCATAGTAATATTAGGATAATAAAGCATTTCTAACTGTATTAATAGTGTTTACGTGCTCTCTCTCTCTCGGTGCAATAAAAAGCAACAACTATAATGGCGAAATGAGATCAAACTCAAATTAAGTGAAAAAAGACTGAAATTATTTAAATGATGTGAGGACAAAACATATTCACAAAGCCTTCCTTTAATTCTAAAACTGTAGTGTTCCTTTGTATGTTAATATACTATTTTACATTACTGTTATTTTTTAATGTTATAATTATCAAATAGATTTTGTTATTATTGTTGTGCTCTTTCAGTTACACTTTGTAGTGCAGAAAAAAGTTAAAAACAAGCATATATTATATTTTTTTATGAGTAATCGATAATGTCATTCATTAAGTGAAAGTACTGGTTGGTAGGAAGAACTTCAAAAATGTTCACTTGTTTAGTTATATGTATATAATATGTTATAAAATTAGTACTTTGCATTTTCAGACTGGTCACAATAATATTTTTTATAGCTTAATTTAAAAAAAAAATGCAGATTTATCCAAAACAGAAATAATGATTAGTTAGTTAGTACTGACTGTTGGGGAGGAGTCATGCTTTGACACTACAGTCATATTTTAGTATAATTCTGTTGTTTTAATACTCTGTAAAACGTACTTGGGATGACTGACATCAGATCACAATGACTGGGAAAACAGGAACCCAAAAAGGAATGATGTTGCTCATTATTAGCATACAGAGCGCGGTCAGCTGTGTCATGCTTGTAGTTGTCTGTTTTGGAGGTCCATTGGAGATCTGCCCTCAAAAAATACAATGCTGTTAAGTCAGACTACTGACTTTAAAAGTCAGAGCTCAATTCAATTTATTCCATCACCAGACTTCTTCCTTCCTTCTCTCCCCTCCTCTACGGCTTCTCCTTGTACCTCCTCCAGAGCTGGTGCACTTGTCTTCTGGCCCCAGAGCGAACACAATTGGAGAAGGAGGTGTAGTGTCGGCCCTTCATCTGGTAAACACAGAGAAAAGGGAGGCACAGTCACGTTGAGAGCCAGAAGTCAGAAGAGAGACTTGGCTATCAAAGTGAAAAAAGTAATTATTCAGGTAACTCAGATTTACCCATGCTGTAATGCGTTGCACTAGAGAAGTTTAAAGTCATTTTGCCCCTTGCTATTGCCCCCCACTATTGTTTTACCTTTAAAATACATGTAGAAGATCAGAGGTTACATTCAATGGCGGGAATTGAAAGAGCATTTAACCAAGCACTGGTGCTATTGATAAAAGTCATATTCCAGGTGGTTTAAAGTCAAAGAGGTAAGGTGAGGAGAATTATTGTGGCTCCTTTCCAGATTAATATGTCTTCAAAAAATGACTCAAACTCTAGATATAAAATATAGGTTGTTGGTGGTACTTATCTGCTTGCTAGCTCCTTCTTCAGACAGGATTTAAAAGAGGTGGCACGCTCCACAGATTTATAGCCCTGAGAGGTCAGTAGATAGACATCATGGCAGAGAAAAAACGAAAAGAAAGAAGGGGAAACACAAGGAGGCAGGCATGACAACAGACACCAAATAGAATAGTGGTGATGGATGGGAAAGAAGAAAGTACGAGTGTTGTAACATAGGAGAGGTTGGGATGACAGGTGAGTGTGGCAGAAAGAGAGGAGATTGAGGATGCAAGTAAAGCCAGGAGAGGTGGAGAGAAAGAGAGAGAGAACACTGTTAATAAGCCAAGACTGTGAGGCCAGGACAGCATTCAAAGAAGCCTATACAACCATAACTAGAACGATTTAACAAGTACAGAAGGTTCACTGTTGTGCAATGTTAGTGATGGTTGTGGCATATCAGACACATTTTAATATCAACCGGACATCTTGTGTTCTGTAAAGAAGACTCTGTGCTGTTGTATTGTACCAGAATACACCACTAGATGGCAGTATCCCTCCTTGGAAACAACACTGTGAACCACTCAAGGTAATTCAACTGCAAGGAACTTATTGAAGTTTTTACCAGCAAGATTTAATTTACATTTAGATTTTTTCATCCCTATTAACTGAAATTTTATTTGAGATCTTTTATCAGCCTTATATGTTTAAATGTAACATATGGATTCTATTCTATTCAGCAGATGTTACTTTACATGTCACATTTGATATTATATCTTGTGTTGATTTTGGCTTACTTGAGTTGTTTGCAGTGGCAGGAGGACAGCCTTTGTTGTTTAAAATAAATCAAAACAAGCTTTTAAAGAGCAGGCCAGTCTAGTTGTTATAGAGTTCTTTAACTGAATCACCTGGGTTTGAACCAGCTTTCTAATAATCTTTCTGTTTCTTTCGGTTCCTCACCCTGGCTCCCCTGTGCAGACGGTCCTTCATTATACCGATGAACTCCTTATAGGAGAGCTGGTCGTCATGATCTACGTCAAAGATCTTGAAGATGGTGTGTACAAGGTGACGTGTCAGCTTCAGCCCAGTGGCCACATACACCGCTCTTGCAAACTCATCTGGTAGGAGAGAGTGAAAACAGTTTTGATCATTTCGGCAACTTGTTGCACACCGAGTTAGAAGGAAAGACACACAGGTGGCCCCAGCTGCCGCCGCTGTCCTCCTACCTTGTCCAATGGAGCGAGATGCAAAATTGTACATCTGCATGGCAATGGCAAAGTCCTCAAGGTTGTTCAGAAACTGGAAGAAGGATCTGAACTCATCAAAGGTGATTCCCTGAAATACCAGAAAAAGAGCAATGAGTGTTTCAGCACATACTGCCATTCAAACGGACCTTGACCAATCAAAACTTAAAAAAAGCAACTCATACTATCAATCAATAACTCAGATATTCCATGAAATAGTCCCATTAATGACATAAAAGATCATTAATGAAAGGATTGTGTGTTCATGATATGTAGCATTTCAACAGCAGCCTTCTTGCAGTGTTTCATAACCCCAAAGTAGCAGCATACAGTAATAATGCTTAAGCCATTCAACAAGTAGCTGTAACCGCCACATGCTTTTTGTTGTGAATCAAGATCAAACCTACAGTTGGATTAATAAAAAATCTATAAACGGAGACAAAGGAAATGCAGTCTTTGCAGGTGCAAAGGAAAAGATGCAGATTAAAAAACACATGTACAAAAAGAACTAGGCAGCTGTGTATCTCAACCTAGACATCCCTGATATGGATAAACAAAGAAGATGGTGAACTAACTAAGGGAGGACAGACTGACAGATTGTAACTGCAGGTTGTGTATTGTACAAGGCAGAGACCAACCTCCTGCTTCTTCCACAGCATGAAAAGGAAAGAAGGAAGGGACAGAAATAGAGTTGGGTTGCATAAGAACTACATGCTAATAGATAGATAGATAGATAGATAGATAGATAGATAGATAGATAGATAGATATTCACATGTAGGTGAACAGGTGGAAGTGCAGTCGTGTGTGTGTGTGTGTGTGTGTGTGTGTGTGTGTGTGTGTGTGTGTGTGCGTGCAGTGGAGCGCTGAAGTGTGGAAAGCCACAACAGCCTCAGGCAGAGACAGGGGTGGGAAATTATGGACGATCTAGACGGCTGGAAGGCGGGAGCGCCCAAAAAGCAGGAAGAAGAAATGAAACAGATAGAAAAAGGAAAGGTATCCGGTGTTACATAAAGATAAATAAACGATCCAAAATCCTACCTACTTCACACTTAACTATCACCCTTTTGGCTTTTCTGCAGCTCTTTTGTATTTTCCCAATATTTTTACTTTAATTAACTGAAGAAAATTTTTATTATATTGAACAGCTACATCCACACACAAATAGGATGAGATAGAGTTTGTGTATTTTGTGTCTATTGCACAGCGTTTGATTTGCTGTGCGTTCCTCTTCTAGTAAAGAACTGCGTGCGTGTACCTTCTCGTCAGGTATACACTGACGGACATTCTCCAGGTAGGCGCTGATGTTCTCCACGTTGGTGAAGCGCAGCAGGATTTTGGCAAAGTCTTCTTCACTGATGGTGGTCATCCCTTTAGAGTAGGTCAGAAACTCAATTTCCAAAACCTCTGTTTGAAGGTTATCCATAAACCTGAAAAGCAGCAAGGAAGCAAAAGAAGGAGAAAGAGATTTTATTCAGAGATTTATCAAAAAAGCATGTTACTAGTTGAGATGCCACTAGATGTCACTAAATCGTACACACCGGTCCTTTAATATTGTTTATAGCATTTTAGTACCTGTAGAAGTCATCAAATGTAAGCTCTGCCTTCCCTTTCTTCCCAAAGAAATGGACCAGTAGGGTGGTGTCGATGGTGATACTCTCATCTGCTCGCTACAAGTCATCAGGAATAAGAGAGAGGATTAATGAGAGACTAATTAATAACATGAAGCAATGTTGTTGGAGGAGAAGCAGTGGGCAGGACGAGTCCATCTTCAAACCAACATGGCTAGCAGGAAGCAGGTTTCCGCCGTACGTGTGCAGAACGTGAGCCAAATGAGCAACGTCAAACTGTAAGAATCAGCTCAGACGAACAGTCAGCAGCCATCATGACATCAAACATACCAGTCTAGGCAGCCATAACATTTATGTTAAACAAGATAAACCTCTTAAATGGAAAAAGTATCTATTTGATATATAACAGATTCAGTACATTTCACTCTCAAACAGTTTGTGCAGAAAAAATGGACAGGTAAAATGAACAGAGGTTTCCATCCATTTTCATTTAGCAGTCAAAGTCAGGAAATAAAATGAGAGGTAGGCTATGCTGCCTAGACCGGCGACGGGTGTTGCTGTAGCAGCATGAAATACAGACCCATACTGGTCTGGTGAAGACACAAGTAGTGTTCAGGTAGAAGCACACATAAAGATACAGAGACACAATGAAAAACAGAGTCATGCAAATATTCACTGAGCGGAGGGAGGGTGTGGACAGGGGGTCAGCAAGAATATAGGAAGGAGGACAAAGTGTTGACCAGGAAGACAAGAACAGAAAGAGACAAGATTTGGAAGAACAACTCAGGGCAAGACAGACAAATACATAACACTAAGCTGCCAAACAGACACGGACATTAAAGCCACCACATCTCATGCACTTCTCTGCAAATGCCACATTGACACACCCACACAGAACCTCAAATCACAACAGCAGCACAGAAACAAAACCCAAATAAGCACAAATGCAGAGAATGTGAGCCATGTCCACCTTTTTCCGTCAACATACGAGAATCAGTGTCATATATGCAATATTTATTTATTTTCGTATCTTTCTTTCCTATTTTTACTCCTTTCTTTGCCCCTTTGTCCTCCCTCCACAGTCTAAAATTGAACATTTACTGAATCCTGGTCATTTGAAACCCCTTCAGCGGGCTTTGGGATGTTTGTTTGCTCATGCTATAATCAGTTGGTTAATAATTGTTTAATCCCTAACCAAAACAAGGTGACACAGGTACGTTTAATGAGTCTTTAAGAAAAGTGTGCTTGAGTGTGTATTTCACATGTTTACGCTTGCTAACAAATCTAGCTCAGAAAAAGGTGACTGTCAGCCATCGTCAGGGCAGAAAGAGAGGATGTCCAAAGCCCATCTTTAGTCTCTCTCCCTGCCATGTCCCACCCAGCCAAACCCCCTTTCCAATTCATGGCCATGCTGAGGTATATGCAGACATCAGATTGGGTGGAATCTCATGTCCTTCTAAGGAGTAAGAGCATTTATGCCATTTCCATCATCATCATCATCATCATCATCATCATCATCATCATCATTATAATCATCACCACGATGCCATTCTTGGTTCTACCTCAAGAGTAAAATCCTAAAATCCAATGTGGGACAAGAAGCAAATGTCAAACAAGATGAAACAGGTTTACAAAAATAAAAAAAGATGTTCATTAGGCAAACTACACAGGTTCACATCTGTGACAGATGTTGCCAGTGCAGTTGTTGTGTTGTTTGTTGTGACATGAGATGTGTATTCATTTTATCAATAAGCAAATGAGTTCATTAGTTTGTAAATGTAAATGATATGACAGAGAAGTGCTTCCACCTTTAATACACAGTCAACTCAGGCCCTTATTTCTTTGCACTGAGCACTGCATGCCAACAGCGATTCTTTGACTGTTTCATGTGAATACTTTTTAGGGGCCAGAAGGGGTGAAACCATCTGGTATAGAGATACATGTTGTGATAAATAAAAACTATTTCATGAAGCAGAAAAATGTTGTTGTTCTTTCCTAACTTGTTGATCATACCTTCCCCATGATTAGTAAACAAAAAACTCAACTGGCAAAATCTATTATGTAAGCATTCAAAGCAGTTAGCCAAATCAGACTGTGGGTCTGAGTTTGCATTATAATAATATTCTCTACGCTGAGATGCAGTAGATTAAGGCAATAACCAAATTCCAAACAAAATGGATGCGGGTCGGTAATTCACAGGATAAAAATGTCTTCTGGGAAACAAACATTAAAAGTAAACGCTGTTTTAGGACCACCAACATTAGTGTGACTCCCAACATTGAGTCTGTTTCTGATTCACTTTGCAGTCTAGTCTTCCAGTACTTCATCTAAACACAGACAAACTGAAACAATTACAGACTTATCATTCCAGTGTCTTTTTTTACATGTCTCACTTGTTTGAGTGTCTTTTTATTAAGCCTCTGATTACGGACAAACAGGACAAAAATACTTTTGCTCTTTTATCTTATAACTGACGCATTACCGTGTCTTTATGACACATGGGCTGTTCATGCTTCTAGACAGCATCCAGGTGGTGTGCCTCTGCCTCTCTTCCCTTCTTTATCCATATCCCTCTCATTCTTTTCATAATCTCAAACTGTTTGTTTTGCTCTCCCAGTGATAGGAACACGAAAACAAGAGACAGATAAATAAATAATTATATTTTGATATACACTATGGCAAATGTATGAAATCAAATACTGTATTGAACCAGAGGTGGTCTTTTCATCTGCACGCTATAGACCAACTGTAGTATTCTCCACAAAAACTACTTCTTAATTAATATTATACATCTAATATTAATGAACTTTTATTAATATGAATATGTTATTATATATAAGCTGCATTAAGTATTTTTTGGCCATTTGAGTGCAGCAAAATTAACTATAAACGCAACATTGCTACATTATCACCTTATAGGATTGTTATGGTGAATGTGTTAACATACATACATTTGAGTTGTTGTGTGTAGCCACCAATATTCCCTCTCTTTTTAGCTGTTTTGTTCTCCAGAAACCCCTAAGGGAAACAGACGCTCTTACGCTGCTGAATGCTCCCCTGTGTACATCAGTTAGCTGCCGTGTGTCTGCGGTTTGGTGCTGGACAGACAGTGTACAGTGGGTTTATCTGTGATTCTTCAGTGAAAACAGCTGCCTGCTGCTGAAAGCAAGGCGAATGAAACTGCAGAGTTGATAGTGATGTGCTCCTTTGTTATTATAAAAAATATGAATAAGTGTAGCTTTAATCATTATCATTTTATGACTTGGCATCTGATAACTGTTTGACATTGGTCAGTACTGTCAACATCGAACATGATAGAGGTTTCTTCCTTACCAGAGTTATTGATTGTTTTGATAATAGTAGATGACCATTACTTATTATTACTGCTACTTATTTTAGATGTCTGATCTAAAGCAACTTCTCATTATGCTGTGGCGTAATTTCACTCAAAAGACTTATATCAGAAGGTTGAATAAAAATATTGGTCTTAATATCAGCCCTTTTAAGACGCCATATCAGTCTAAACCCGGGTAGACGTAATGCCAAACTGATCATAACACTAATTCCTGGAAGTGTGGCAGCACCAGTGTGAGCTCATCACCCTCGTAAAGACGTAATGGTTACCACGCCCACAAGGCACGAGCCAACACCTGGTGTATGTGTGTGTCTATTTGTCCTTCTCTGTGTGTGAGAGCTTTAACAGACTTTGATCATGAAGCTGAAGGTAAAAACAGTAATTACTGATGTAAACACTAAACGGTCTTCCTCATCCTCCCTATCTGTGAGTAATACCTCGGAGCAAGAGCTCATTGTCGGCCCTCAGTCAAGTCAGTCAGACTGTCAGTCAGTCACACCTTCCAGGGTACAAACAGCTAACCCTCCCCTTCCCTTCCCACGACCTGGTTGCCTTTCCCCCTCCTAACTCTATCTCCCACCTTCTCTCTCTTTCTTTCCCTCTCCTATCACTTTGTTCCCTCTTACCCTGCCCCTGCTCTGATTACTCTGATTTCCTTTCTCCTCATACTACCCGTCAGTACCTCCTTCACCTGACAAACATAGAGGTGATTTGCGCTTTCCTTCCCTCCCTCCTTCTCAGCCTGTCAGTCAGTCCCTCCTTCTCCAGACAAAGGCAAAGAGGTATAATGGTGACTAATCTGTTGAGTAAACACATCTTTCTCTAAATACAACCTGCTTCTTTCTTTTCCCCTTAATGTGCTTCCCGAACTTCTTTTCTTCCCACCCACTTTGTTCCTGAACATTTGTTCTCTCTGCTGACCTGTGTCATCTTCTTGGGGCCTCTCTCACCTGTTTGTTGTCTCTCAGATTGTATCTCTTCCTTTCTTTTCACCCTCAGGTTTTCAACTTATCTGATCTGGTTACAGATTTGTTACAATTCCAACGTTTCCTCTTCTCTTTAATGTATCCCTTTTTTTTTTATTGTGACACCATGTCTCACTTTTTGTTCATTTTACTTCATCTTATAATTTTTTTAATCCCTCACACTTTTAATGTACCTGTTTGTCTTCCTTTTATTTCCCTCCCCCCACCCTCCCCCCTGTCTGATCCGTCTGTTCTGTCCGTCTGACGTCCCAGCAGATGAAAGGCTGCTTGGTGTAAATACAAGGTCAGTCCCATTATGCTCCACTGTCATTACCTCCACCTCAGCTTCCGCTGCCACCACAGCACATAGCCTGTCATTAGGAAGCTAGCCTGCTAGCACTGTTAGCTGTTATTAATCATTACTAGCATCTTTACTTTGTGTTAGACGCATCAGAAAGACTATTTGACTTGCACACAAACAAGCCAATGAAACATTTGCCAAAATGTGAGATTATACAGATGAGCAGCATTGTTACCTGTGTAAAAATGCTTTGATTTTATTTACTTATATTTTATTTTATTAATTTTAATAAAATAAAATGTATGTATTGGATAGGAACAGCTGTAGAGAAAGAGATGGGGGGATGACAGCAAAGGGCCCCAGGCTGGAATTGACTCAGGCTGCTACCAGGTAAGCTAAAGAGGCGCCTCATGTTTTGATTTTAGTCCTGTTTGTCTGTTTTCACGCTAACGCCGTGGCTATAGGGATGTCGGCCTGTTGGTTTATCAGTCCACCACTTTGGTCCAGACTAAAATATCTCAACAACTGTTAAATGGATTGCAATGAACTTTTCATGATCCCCAGAGGATGAATCCCACTGACTGTGGTGATCCTCCGACCATTCCTCCACTACGAGGTTTACATTTCCTTTCTAGTGAAATGTCTTTGCAATTATTGGATGGACTGTAATGAAATTTGGTTCTGACATTGATAATCCCCACACGATTGTCTTTGGTGATTCTCTTACTTTATATCCATCGCCATAATCAGTTGAACATTTAAATTTGTCCAATACTTTGGTTTGATGGCATTGCCATCAGCCTCAACTGTACACACTAAACTAAGATAGTGAACATCTGAATGTGAATGATAATTCGATCTGATAAATATCAGCATATTAGCATTATCATTTTGAGCATGTTAGCCGCTATGCTGACGTACAACCTCACAGAGTTGCTTGCATGGCTGAATACTTCTTTTTCCATTAATTCTGTCTAAAAGTACAGGTGATAAACAACATTTAAAATGTCTAATCTTGGAAGTAGAAGCTTTTGAGGGTTGTTTGGAGGTATTACCTACTATCTACCCGCAGTTCAGGTCACCATTTGATCTTAACTGCTGAAGTGAGTGATGCATTTCACATTTTTGCCTAAATGTATATACTACTGTAATTCAAAGTACAGAAGCAAAAGACTACTGTACTTAAAATTAAAGAAATTCAATGTGACTCAGTATAAGTGTGGGGTGCTATAATGAGCAGGGTTTTTGTATGTGCTCTGCAGTCAGCCTTGTTATCATTATAACAGTATCATTAAACATGTTGTGGTTTAAACTGAGAATGATTTCACACCAAAGCTAAAACACTAGCCACAACACAGCACAGATAACAAGGCACAGATACACATAGAAAAGCATAATGAAGAGACCAAATGACAGAAGGCAGGCGAGAAACACAACAGGTTATTAGAATACGGACAGTACAATATCTATCATCTAACTAGCATTATTTGATCAATATTGTCACATCAGTACAATATATTATATTATTTAGAAACAATAATCAATAGGAACAAATATGAAGAAAAAACTCCTTATCATATTTGTTCATCAGGAATGAGGTTGTGACATAATGAAATGGAGAAGACATTTCAAACATTTGGAGGAGCCTCGAGTTATCGCAAGAAAGATTTTCCTACAACTCTCTCAGTTTTAGAAGAGATCAGTCCGATGGACATATTGTGTTTAGTGCAAGGAATCTTGTAGAGCTCATCCAAACAGAAATGATTTCACATGGAGAAAGGGAATGGAGGAATGGATTGACACTAGTTTCTGCACCCTAAAGATATAAGTGAGATACAAGTATGGCAGATATTAAGTGATCTAAATATAATATATGTTATATAATTTTTTAGGGAAGAAAGGAAAAAAGAAAAATTGCAATTCAGTCTACTGTATGTAAATTATCAGTATCAAGCCAAACCAGAATAAAAGAGTTAGGGTGATCGTAACGTTGTACAATAACCCTATACTGACAAATAGTTTTAGTTCTTACTTCTCTTTTGTCCGACAAAATATCTTGGTCCATATGAAGATTAGCTAAGCCTGATTTCTTAAGAAGTCAAACATTAAGGTCAAACACCTATTTGCTCACTCACAAGTAATGCTTTTATTTTGGAGGATAAAACTGGTGTTATTCTGGCCAAGCTTGAATACATAATTCTGAATCTGTGGGGCTAGTTGGAGGATCAACACTAACTACAGTGAACTGTGATGGACAAGTGAAGGATGAAAAATGGAGGGATGTAGGGACAGAGGACAGTTAAGTCTGTGTACCTCCGCCAGGTCAGAAAAGAGGACTTGACTGGCGCCTCGCCTCAGAACGTCCCAGTAACTCCGCGCCACAAACTCCTGACTGTCTTTTTTTAGCACCTGTAGGAGCGGTCAAGCAGGGCCAGGGTCAGTTCACCTCCAACTTAACCACTTCAGGAAGTAAACTTCAGCCTTCAGTAATCACTCTATCAATTCTCAATATATACATACATTAAGTCAATTTTCTTGTTTTAGAGTACATATACTGCATATTCATGGACAGTGTCACATACAGCATTCATAAATAGTAAATACTTAAATAAGATAATTCTGATCTGGCTTCTGACATTCATGGATCTACCTTATAAGGGAAACCTCATCCATTCTTTTTTGCCAAATCATAGAGAACAAATAGTAAACACTAAATTATGTGCTGACCCTACATTGCTGAAATGCTGTTTATTAGAAGAAAGAAATAGCTAATATAACTAGGGAGAAACAAAATTTAAATGAAATCATGTTCTGTTATCAATACAATTTACAGTGGTAATATCCATTTGTAATGTTTGATTTAACTATAACTATATAACTAACTATATAACTATAAATTCACCCCATCCACTGTAATAAGCACCAAGCATAAAAACACATTAGTGTCAAACACAACAGGAATGAAGGGAGGAAGGGTCAGATTTTAAAACGTGTACATCACAGATAAAGCAAAAGACAAATATATTATCTAATGTCTTCCAGTGCTTTTGGTGAACATAAGAATAAGGATTATTTATGATACAGCGGGTAAAATAAGTACTGAACACGTCACCATTTTCTCAGTAAATATATTTCTAAAGGTGCTATTGTCATGAAATTTTCACCAGATGTCGGTAACAGCCCATGCAATCCACACATGCAAAGAAACTAAAATAAATAATTTCAGAAATTAAAGTTATGTGAAATAAAATGGAATGACATATGGAAAAAATATTGAACACGCTTACTGAAATGTATCTAATACTTGTACAAAAGCCTTTGTTGGTAATGACAGCTTCAAGACGCCTCCTGTATGGAGAAACTAGTCGCATGCATCGCTCAGGTGTGATTTTGGCTCATTCTTCTGCACAAACAGTCTTCAAATCATCTTCTATGAACTCTGATCTTTAGTTCTTTCCATAGATTTTCTATTGGATTCAAGTCAGGTGATTGGCTGGGCCATTCTAGCAGCTTTATTTTCTTTCTCTGAAACCAACTGAGAGTTTCCTTGGCTGTGTGTTTGGGATCATTGTCTTGCTGAAATGTCCACCGTCATTTCATCTTCATCATCCTGGTAGATGGCAGCAGATTTTTATCAAGAACGTCTCGGTACATTTTTCCATTCATCCTTCAATTATATGAAGTTTGCCAGTGCCGTATGCTGAAAAACAGCCCCACACCATGATGTTCCCACCTCCAAACTTCACTGTTGGTATGGTGTTTTTGGGGTGATGAGCATTGCCATTTGACCTCCAAACATGCTGTCTATTACGGCATCCAAAGAGTTGAATTTTGGTCTCATCTGACCAGATTATAGTCTCCCAGTATTTAACAGGCTTGTCTAAATGTTGTGCAGCAAACTCTAAACACGCTTTGAAGCATGCATACAGGCCATGGCGATTCCAGGTCTTTCTGAAGCTCTCCACAAGTGGTCCTTGGCTCTTGGACAACTCTTCTGAAAATTCTTTTCACTCCTCTGTCAGAAATCTTGAGGAGCACCTAGTCGTGGCCGGTTTATGGTGAAATTATGTTCTTTGCACTTCCGGATTATTGCCCCAACAGTGCTCACTGGAACATTCAGAAGTTTAGAAATCCTTCGGTAACCAACGCCATCAGTATGTTTAGCAACAATAAGGTTGCAAAGGTCTTGCGAGAGCTCGCTGGTTTTACCCATCATGAGACATTTCTTGTGTGACACCTTGGTGATGAGACACCTTTTTATAGGCCATCAGTCGCGACTGAACCAGCTGATATAATTTGCACTGACAAGTGGCAGGATTGTTCTCTAATTACTGACAGATTTCAGCTGGTGTCTTGGCTTTTCATGCCTTTTTGCACCTCCCTTTCGTCATGTGTTCAATACTTTTTCCCTGTGTCATTTCATATTATTACACATAACTTAATTTATGGACATCTATGGTTTGATTACTTTGCATGTGAAAATTTCATGACAATAGCATCTTTAGAAATATATTTACTGAGAATAATGGTGACGTGTTCAATACTTATTTTACCCGCTGTATGTGCTGTCCTAAACGCCACATAAGATAGCTGGTCCTGTTAGAGTGTATTCTGCCTTCATTAAAGTCAACCACAGCGCTGAGATCCTGACCACCCACCTTGTCTCTCTCTCCAGGGAGAATGCAGCAGCAGCCATTTTAACATGACCCTGCACCGCTCTTAACTTCACAGTGACAATGCAGCTATCCATCACAACACTGACAGGACCAAGAGTGCCTCTGTGTGTGTGTGTGTGTGTGTGTGTGTGTGTGTGTGTGTGTGTGTGTGTGTGTGTGTGTCTGTCTGAGAGAGAGAGAGAGAGAGAGAGAGAGAGAGAGAGAGAGAGAGAGAGAGAGAGAGAGAGAGAGAGAGAGAGAGGGGGAAAGCTCATAGTCTGAATAGAGACTAGTGGCTGGTAGGCTACAGTTATTGAACAGTACAACTCTTGCTACACTACTCTATCTCCATTAGAAAACATTCATTACCACTCAGGGTGGGCCAACCTCTACAGTTGTATCTCAAGGGGGAATTAGGGGCAAATAATTGAAGGCATTTAAGTGTTGAATGTGTACAAATCTCAAATATTTAATTACTATGTTGAACAAGCTAGTCTTCATTGTATGTAATATAATATATCCTTCTCTTGATTGATTTGTTTAAAGTAATCAGTTTAATTGTGGATGCCATACCACTCAGCAGACATATGTAACCTGTTAGCTTTCTTTATCATGTAAATGTGAATGTGCTCACACAATAGAAGCAACTTTCTGTCTGCAGCCTTGGCTTCTTTCAATAAAACATCTCCTGCTCTCTTAGCATTAACCAAACTCGGTAACATCAACAAGAACACACACACACACACACACACACACACACCACACACACTGCCAAACAAACAGCATGTGTCCTTAAACAGTCTAAACTGAACAGTGTCTGATTGTGTTTAGAGCTCGAGAGTGCCTCCAGTCATTCTAAATCACATCATTCTCTTTTTGTAAGAGTTCATCTCTCCTGACCCCTTAAATATATTACTCCTCTTCTTCCATCATCCCTCGATCAATCACTCAGCTGACCTGACAGATGGACACCCTGTCTTGAAGGAAGTCTTTCTCTATCCCTCTCATCCTCTCTGTCCATCCATCCTTTCAAGGAGTCTACTTTGGACATTTTATTGACAACAGAGGATCAGGTGGACTGGGTCAGGGTTAGAGCTTTTTCAAAGACCAGATCAGGACACAAAAGTGGGTGACAGGGGTATTACACAGAGTCCTCTAAGTATCCCAAAATAATTGACATTTACACCTAACAAACGTGCCAGAGTGAAGGAAAATAGTCCAAAGTAAATACTAAATTAGTAAAATCGGGGACAGATATCCAGCCGCTTGTGAAACTGGACTTTTCATCATGAGATTCATTATTTGGAGAATCTGGGTGCAATGAAACTCACCTATTGTATGAACCTATTATATCCCCAATAATCCCTGTTCCCCTCACTCTAACCATTGTTATATCTCTTTAACTTCTATAACATACAACTGTAATTATCTTTTTTGTGAGAATTACTAATATAAATCTGCTTTTTCAGCTTTTTTAATTTAGTTTTTCTTCTTCTATTTTATTTGCTTTCTTGCTGAGAGATAAGAAAATTGATACCACTCTCATGTCTGTACAGTAAAAAATAAGCTAGAACCAGGTGACGGTTAGCTTAGCATAAAGACTGGTAGCGGGGGGAAACAGCTAGCTTACCTTTGTCTAAAGTTAAAAAATAAGTCACTGTCAGGTTGCCAGGCAACGAGCAGAGGCTTCAGAAAGTCAGTGTCCCGCCAAGACATATTCCAACACACAACCCCCCAACTTGCTCTCAGTCTGCTCTCAGTCTTTGTGCTAGGCTAAGCTAACGCACTGCTGGTTGTGGCCTTATGGTGCTATCCATTGGTCTCGTAAATCCCCCGCCCGAGTTGCTCTGATGCGCGAACGTGACGTAATTGCCTGGCTTGTACCACTTATAGCGTTCCAGTTGTCTTTGGGCATTACCAGTCGGAAAGAACATGGACGCCACCAGTGCAGCAGCTGTGTTGTTATTGTTTGTGGCTCATCTAAACAAGCTCAATGTGAAATAATAATGTTTTTCTACAGAAACACTAACATTTCAAGTAATTCCGTTATTGCAAGTCTTACATTTCAATAATATTTTGCCATTTTCGCCTATTTCAATGTCAACAGGTGCTGTGGCGTTTGTCTCGAGCCACCAGGGGCCACCAGGAGCCACCAGGGGCCACCAGGGGCCTCCAGGGGCCACCAGGGGCCACCAGGGGCAGTGGCAGGCTAGTGTTATTGTTAGCTACATTAGCCTGTTTAGCAAACCAGCTCGAAAACAAAACTTTACATTGTATTGCACGCACAGCAACACCGTGCAATGCTTAAATTGGTGACCGGACTAAAGCAGCAATGTAAACAAGTGTGTAAGAGCATTTAATATCGACATTAAAACGACCAACATAGTACAAATACAAAGAAAATACATCTCAATAAGGGCGCTGCCATCTTTGTTTTGCGGGTCGTACGTTCACCCTCGTTTAACTCGGTGTACTGTGAGGAGCCCCGAGTGGGACGGTTGAAATTACGACCACAAGGGGGTGTGTCTCGGTAAAATGTTGCAAGATAGCTGCGAGATTTACACTTTCCAACTCGGCTGGGGGATTTACGAGACAAATGGATAGCACCATTAGATTGATATGAGGGTGCCATTGATCTTCAAATTAACTCTTGGCAAGAAAGAGAATAAATATATTTGAAAAATTCTAAACATGTATAATTACATTTCACACTAAGTATAACATTTTACCATAAAAAAATAAGAGTAAAATACTTTTCTAAAAAATAAAGACAGTTTCGAAGAGATGAACACAATGTTCAGAAGAGGTTCTGGATATTCAGAAATAAAATAAAATGTCTACTATGGCTGCTTAATAAAGTTTTTTTCAAATGAAACCATGAAGCACGTCGTTACCCAGCTGACAGAAACACCTAGCTCTCTGTTACTCTGTTCAAACTTCCACCCATTTCTTTGACCACCTAAACAAGAACAGAAAGGAGACTAAGGGGTTATGGTTTTGAATACATACGCTGTTCATGGGGGCAACCTGATATCCATAGAGCTGCATACTCTAACACACAGAGAGAGACATGAGGAAGAGAAAAAGAAGGACAGAGCATGCAGCCAGAGAGGAGGAGGAGGAGGAGGAGGAGGAGGAGAGAAGGTAAAAGACATGTTAGTACATGCAAGGAAAGAGGCTGTGGATACACTCAGCAGAGGGATGTGCCATTTTCAACACATCTATGATTATGTTTAAGAACAACACACACTTTACAACACTGTGCACTGCAATTCCCAGAGATGTTTACTGAAACTGTGTGTGAGGAAAAGTGTAACAGTTTTCTTTTTCAGATTTATCTTTACCTTAATTCAAATTAACAGTAAATATTATTATCAAAGCTTTACCAGGACTGATACACTAAGACATTAAGTAGTTTGAGCAACAAATGTATTCATCATTTTACCATAAAATGTAGTTGTAAGATTTTATAAGTTGTATAACTATAAAGACTGTATAGGTGAAAAAACTGAAAAACAATATGTTCTTGCAGGAAAGTACATTTTGTGTTTGTGTTTGTTTGTCAGGTTTGTCAGCGTTAATTTTCTTTGGTTGGAGTGCAGTGTGTCATCTGCCAATGTCTCTTAATAAGTAATAAGGAAGGGCCATGATTGACCTGTTACCTGCAGACGAAAGGTGGGCAAACATCTAAAATGAAAATCTTTTCTTAGGAATTGTGACCACAATTTGTAATGCAGTGAATAACATGTTTCTATGGTGGACAAATGTGTGCATTAGTGTCTATAAATCACCTTTAGAAGTCTTTTCTGGCATTTCTGTACTAACATGTCTTCTTACTTATTACCAACTTATAAGCCAATAAAAAGCTAATATTCACCCAGCCTGATCACTTTATAATTTGCCTCTAATTCCACATGCATAATTACCATTCAGTGTAGTAAATCAAAATGATCGGTGTTGTTCCAGAACTTCAACAACAGAAGTGTTGAAAAGGACAAATTCTTTTAAGAGTGTATCCAAAGTACACAGTACAGATAACTGTCACAGTAAAAACAGAGGAGATACCACATTGTCAAAAAGACAAGGCAGCATGCACTTAAATATGGTTACATGAAGGGTTTAGCTGACTTTAGTAATTGCTTAAATGCAGATGATAATTAACTTGGACGATGATGTGTTGTTATCAATATATCAATACAGTCTGACATATTCATGGCTGCTCAGTAACCCTAAAAAATCCCGTCTAAACACGTATTAAGACATATATACAAATAGTCTGCTTGGAACAATAATGCATGTCTTATACATTTCTTCTGCAAAATAAAAATATAATTTAAAAGTATAATTTCCACATTAAAATCCATATAATCCGTCTACCTCATCAAAGTGTATGTGCACTGGTGGCTTCAAGTTTTTACATCACACTTGTATAAGTTGCATGCTGGACCAGGACCGACTTCCAAACTATTTGTGATGTCCGAAATAATGCTCATAGTCCCCTTAAAAATCAAATTTTCAATGAGCACAGAGAAACTTCCCACTTTCAACAGTAAAACCGGAACATTTTGGGTGCTTTGCATTTCAAGTTTACCCTACTGATGACAGCAGCATTACTTAAGTCCATATCCATAAAAACTTATAATCCATGGTCCTTTCACTGTTGTACTAATTGTAAGTAGCTAAAGGACTGAATTATCCATCCATACAAATGTACCTGTCCTCACACACAAACACACCCTCGTCTTCCATTACCAACTTTCTTACCAACTGTGCTGACTTCTCAGCATCTCCTTTCCTCCCTTTCTTCTCATTTTTCTTCCGGAAGATCTCCTGAAGCTGTAACGAGAGACAGAATGAGGATCTCATTGACAATTCAAAGCTCTGTTTGAAGCTTAAATGTTCACACGTACAAACATTCACTGAGTTCACAAAATCACTTGCTCTTTCATGCTGGTCTATGATGTGATTCTAGCCTTTTGACAACATGATTTAGAGAGTGTTGGTTTTCTAGTTTGGCTTTCGAAAGGACTTGGTCACATATGTAAAGGGTAAGTCAATGCTAAATCACATTACTGCTGCACAGTTATCGGTGTTCCTATTTTAGTATTGATAGTATTGGTTTTCTAGTGACTGACGTTCTTCATTTGTGGTTTTTTTAAATAAAATTCTTTTGACTACAGATGTAATTTTTGGCAAAGTCTGAATTAAAGAAAGCAGTAATATAAATGCCTATTATCAAAACCACAATGTGGGAGTTCTTTTTTGTCCCCACACCTGCCCACTGCTACAGGACCATTATCGCTCACTCTTGCCAGTCTCCACAGAGATTCTGATCACTTCCTGCCTGCAGCAGTGTTTTCAATTGAAAATCTGTTGGTCCCAACCCACAGGGAAAGAAAGACACATGTAGCCCTTATAGGGTATAATCTAAAGAAATGCTATTGCAGTTTGGCTACTCGCTGTTTAATAAGCTGTCTTCAGAAAAAGTAAACTGAAAAATCAGCTTCTAAATGCTTAAAATGTGAAAAAAAATTGCTTCAGCTTAAGGCAGCAGGAATTTAAAGTCGATAAAAACATGAACCGTACTGTCTCTGTCCAACCCTGTTTTTCTCATTTTGTTGTCTATTTTCCATCATCACCGATATCTTTAATATCCTAACCATTACCTTTCACGATGGGAGTAAATAGTAACATATAAATTCATTCATAGGATGGATTTTCAGTATCAGAGACTCACCACCAAGAACTCCCTCTTGTCCACCATCTGGTTGCCGTCTGCATCAAACATATTGAAAGCAATCTTAAAGCCAGCGTGGGGCTCTGGAGAACAGAGAGGAGAGCACATAGGGTGAGTGTGTGCATGTGTGAAAGTCCATTTTAAATCCAGAAATAGCATGGGATGAAGTGGCATATAGGCAAGACTGGAGGGAGATGGGACAGGTAGAAATCTATATGGACTATGATCTACACTTTCGTCTATATCACTCTTCCCGTTTGTTAGTGATCAGGTATAGCTGTTGATCTGACAGTTTAAACTTGGGTCACTTTATGTTTTTATTTTAGAAATACCAGAACACATATGTTTAGCCTTTGCTGGTCCTTTAAACCTCAGTAAGAAAGTCTAAGACATGGAAATGTGCAATTTTCATTGTATTTGGTGAAAAAAAGTCTCACATTCCTGTCTACATTTATGTTTTGAAAGGTTATAAGTAGAGGTATTTTTCCCTCTTCTTCTTGTCTCTCTCTGTCTCAATTGCTGTCTTACCCCAAGGGGAAGGGGAAAACCACCAGATTTGTGTCATAATTGCCTCTTGTTAAGTTCTGGGTGGGCCTGAATATAGTTCATATCATGTAGCTTAGCCTTGTTAGCTAAGCCTTGTTGCCTTGTTAACCAAAATAAGCACAGCATACTGATAAAGTGAGAGAGAGATGGAATAAGGAAGTAGAAGATGAGATGAAGTGAAGGAGGATGTGTAGAGACACTGAACTGACTCACTTGTCAGGATGCAGAGCAGGAACAGGTACTCCGTGTATGAGATGATGCCTAGTAATGAGACCAAGACAGAGAGTTAAAGAAAAGGTCATATTCAACACACACACACACACACACACAATGTTTACAGATGTTCAAAGACCGTGGGCCTCATGACACACACACACACACACACACACACACAAGCACACACACACACACACACACACACACACACACACACACACACACACACACACACACACACACACACTAACACAGATAATCCTTCCTTTCATGAAGATAGCATCTTAAAATGTGTCTTCTGGAGCTGAGCTGCCAACAGCCATTTGGCCACACACAGTTTCTTTTTCTACACCCCAAGTGTCCAAAGTAAAGACACTGGCTGGGAGGGGTGCGTGCATGTGTATGTGTCTGTGTTTGGATAAGCAAGTGAAAAATGTTTTAGGAGATGATCCTTTCTTGCCTCAGGCCCATTTAGGAATCTTTGTAGCTCCATCTCATCTCCGTCTCCCTCTTTTTCGCTTTCTGTCCTGATTGCTCAGATAGTTCAGGGTGACTCGCTTGAGTGTTACGGGAGACTGCTTTCCGTGTGTGTGTGTGTGTGTATTGGTGTGTAGGTGAACATGACACCAGCTAAAGACTAGTGTGAGCCTAGTGTTATCCTGATGCTCGACTGCTTTGTGTAGAGGAGCTGGTTTGGAACTGAATTCTCTTTTTCTCTGTGTAGCCTGAGCTGTGAAAAGACCAGGAGATACACTGTGAAACTACTCAGGTTTCTAAAATACATTCTACATGTTTACACTCACATACGTTCAGCAACATGAAACAAGACATGCAAAAAGGTGGGTCAACACTGATGCAAGAGAGTAATTGTCATTAGGGCAGGGGTCAGCAACCTTTACTATCAAAAGAGCTATATATATTTGAGCCGTATAATGCTAATTTCTAAATAAAAGAAAAGAAGAAAAGAACCTTTATCAAAACTATGACACAGTAATACAACATGGATTTGGTATCACTAAGTTATAGGACTGTTCTAGTTCTAAAAAAATATTTTAACACAGTTAAAAGATAAACTCATTATACTGTGTAAGGCATGTTCATACAACAACTGAACAAATGTCTGACAGCTGACAACATGCTTTTACATTTACTATGATCTGTAGTCTGTAGTCATGTAAATGCCCAGCATGGTATGGTATAATGATAATCACCTAACCATAAACTCCTCACAGTTCTGATTACATCTGATGTTTCTAAACTAAAGTAATTAAATTACTGTCTAACACACAGCTACCATTCACACACGCAGGCGGACACGCACACACACACAAACACACACACACACACACACACACACACACACACACACACACACACACACACACACACACACACACACACACACACACACAGTCAACAATGTTCAACACTATGCATTCCTTTGTCTGACACATAGCTCTGTCATTCTCAGAAATCCAAAGCCATCCCAAGGATTTTAACTGTCCTTGCTCGTCATGGTATGAAGAGGAGAGCATGTCCTGACATCAGCGCACACACGCACATGCACACACAACACACAACAACAATTTAAACAGCTTATTCACATGACTTATACGAAGGACGGCATTATAAGAAAGTTGAATAAATGTGAATGTGTGAACGAACAAATTAATGGCTCAGAGGTTAAAAAAAATAGTATACTAATGGTGTGTGTGTGTGTGTGTGTGTGTGTGTGTGTGTGTGTGTGTGTGTGTGGTCTTGGCAATATGCAACCAGCAATTTGAATAGACATGCACTGTATTTAACTGCAATGTCTTCATCCTACCATGAAGAGGATGGTAGCGTATGGTAGAGCATTCTCTCTTTCCTCTTTTATTTCTCCCTCTTTGTTTTTTCTGATTATATTCATTCCTTAACACTCCACTGACTTTACATGTCTCCTTTTCACTCCCTCACTGCTCATGTCTTTCTCGTCCTCTTCTTTTATTTATGCTCCCTTTCTCCTCCTCTCCATTTTTTTTTTCATTTCCTCTCAGATTTTTTGCCGTTGCATTCTCTCTGTCCATCTCTCTGATTTAAAAAAAAGGATGAAGGCAACACTCCTGGATACTTGTCCCTGAAGTGTAAACGCAAAACTCAAACTAGTTACAAGATGTAAAACATTATCACAGTAGAGGAAGAGAGGCTGCGTTATATTTCGCATCTCCCAATGTGTGTGTGTGTGTGTGTGTAGTTATCACTACGAGGACTCACTCCCAGACTGTGTGATTCCTATGTCACACTCATCTGAAGCAAATGCTTTAATTAGGGGGAGCTTCTCTCCCTCTCTCTCTTTGGTGCTGTATAATTTTTCTGTTCCTGTATGCAATGAAGGGAAGAGAGGAGAGGAGAGGAGAGGAGAGGTTTATTTTTAGTTTTTTCAGCAGGTTGTTTGGCTGAAAGGAGGGACAGCATGCCTCCAGCCCCGGATTAGAGACACCTACAGTGACACACACACACACACACATAAGCTCAGAAGCGCTATTTAGTCACACATCGGCAGGTAAGACCTGTTATACATGCACACAAACCAGTGCACTGAAAGGCTGCAGAAATGCTGTAAGATGTATTGAACTGTTCCTCACTTACTCCTCATATTAACACATGAAACTGTAATGGCTAAATAAATAACTCCAAATCCTAATCCAACGACATTCATTGACCTTGTTATTATCTGACTGCTACTTATTTGCTGTGTATGTTTGTATTAGTGAGTGCAAAGGTACTGAAGGTGCTTCTGTTTTTTTTGTTTGCACATGTATGCATGCAAGTGTGTGTGTGTGTGTGTGTGTGTGTGTGTGTGTGTGTGTGTGTGTATGCGTGTACTCTCTCTGACCTCGTTCTCTCAGGTTGCGGAACAATTTGGAGGATCCTCTCCATACTGGGGGAGTTTCTGTCAAAATCTTCTCCAGCTCCTGACACACACACACACACACACACACACACACACACACACACACACACACATAAACAGTTTGAGTTGTCTGATGTGACTTTTACATAGACAGAAACAGAAAGAGAGTAAGAGAAAGTGGGCAGCATGCCATTAAAAGGAGGAAACAGTTCACTACAAATGATCCATCTTGACATTCCATTTATTCTAGTATCTAAAATGTTTTTTTTTTTTCTGGTAAAAACACTGAATGAAAATATAACTGTTTCTTTCCAAGAAAACTCTACAGGGTACCTTTAAGATTGTATTGTGATAGTGATAGCACTGATTTCCTGTATTTCACTGTCAATGCCAACATCTTAACTTACCATCAATCCTACTGACAACATCAAAGCTATATTATTGTGGGAGTCAAGCAGGGTTGAATGAATGGATTCGGAGGCTGCTCATTCATATACTTATGTTCTATTTTTATGCACATTGAGAGAAAGTAAATTTAATTCATTTAAAATGAAAATTGTAACACAACAAAGTTTTGTGCACTAACAGAATCTAAAGTTTTAAAGGCCTGGAAGCACAAAGGTCAGTAAAAGCTTGCAATCGTTTTGCTTTTCAGTGTCAATGAATCTGATAATGATCTGTAATCATGCATTAATGCTACATGCAGAACTGTGACATTTACATGGAAGAAGAAACAGCAAAATCATTTTTTTATCTTTGTACAGACACAAAATACACAAAGCTTGCAACAGACGTAACATGCAACAGATGCCTGCAACATGGAGGAGCAGAGGAAAGCAGCAATAAGAGTGTGTCTCCCACCTGTTTGGTCAGGGACCTCCAGGGCCTCTTGTCTGCAAGGGAACAAGACAAAAGAGGAGAGAAGAAGAAGGAAAGAGGAGAAGAGAGTTTGGGTGGGCTCGATCAGATAGCATCTGTATGATCTAGAAATGGGTCTTAATGTGCCGGGTACAGTCACAACACACACACACACACACACACACACACACACACACACACACACACATACACACATTGTATATACACTGTCATCATCACAGGCCCATTTGTACCGTCTAAAGTGCCCCGTGCTTGTCTTTGTAGTATGTGGAATGTCCCCGTAAAAGCACATACTACTTTTGTTCTGTTTTATACAACAAAGTTCATCTAATTCAACTTCAAAGGGGGCATTAGAGGATGTCGGCTGCTGAGAGGGTATGTGCGGCTGTATCGTATGTCAGTGAGCCAGGGTAGATGTAAACACACACATACAGGTGCACAGTTTGCACGCAATACAATCACATAACCGCTGAAGAATGGAATGGTAGCTTTTTTGGACGGTGTGTATTGTGATAACCTCAACTTGTAAGGACATTTTTAAACCAGCTGTCATAAAGGAAAAAATAAGTAAAGTGTCTGGTTTAGATATTTATTGGTTAAGAGAAAGGGTAAATGTGAGCAAAAGGAATGTGGACAAGTCAAGGAGTGTGTGAGTATGTGTGTATGTGTGTGCCTGTGTGTGTGTGTGTGTGTGTGTGTGTGTGTGTGTGTGTGTGTGTGTGTGTGCGTGTGTGTGTGTGCGTGTGTCTGACTAACATTAATCTCAGACTAAACAATAGCTGTAAAGCCATCTGCTTTGAGGCTGGCTGGCCGAGACTAATCTGTTACAACTGGCAGCAGGCTGACAGAAACAGCAAAGAAGTGTTTAAACTCAGGATTTTAAAGTGTTTTAAAACTTGGTTTCAGTTTAAAAGGATCTATTTTACACCGGGCACTGACATCCATATTGGGAAATCAATTTCAGAACAGAGATGGCCATCAGCAAACTAAAAATATATCTAATTTAGTTTGTTATCAAAGGCACATAAAGACGCATTTACATCAAAATGTAAGTGTACAACACTACAGAAATGTTACTTTAATATTTGGATCCAACCAGCACACAAATGTTCAGTGAAATGGATATTGCCAGATGGTGAAACAGCAGAACAAGGTCTGTACTGTAAGGAGAGAGAAATTGAATGTGCAATGCCAAATATTTTAATGTCACGTGTAAATGTAATCAATCAAAATCTAGATACAATCCAGATTTTAGCCACATGACATGCCAGGTGAAAATGGGACCAAGAAAATGAAAATAACTGTATATCTACATCAAACTGAAATGGCTTTAACAAGTGACAATCTTCATGCCCAGGAAAGCATGGTCTCTTCACAGTATACAAACAGAAAAAAGAATTGACTCTAGGTATGTAAGGTAGGTAAGAGTTTTGAACTGGATGGATGTGTGAGTCTGTCAAACATACTTCTTGGTTCGCTCATGGTGACAGACTCAATGAAGTTCTGTGGAGTCATGTACAGCTGCCCTTCATACTCCACAGAGCTGAACATGCGGAAGCGATGCTCATGGGACGACATGTACACGTCTCCATCCTCAAAGTCAAAAGGACGTGCCTGCAGACATAAAAACAAAATGCAAAACAAAATACACTGTTATTGATTGTGTTGCCCTGTTGATGAGCTACACTACTTTTTGTTGGTTTTTATTTTTTTAGGTATTTTTTTCAGTGAAAATATTTTAAGGTGGCAGCCATTTGAAAATAGATTAGCAAAACAATTATCAACAGGAGACAAATCATAATTTCAATATTACTGCATTAATCACAATATAAATATCATATTCAATGATGTGTATATAACATAATATGTTAAGTAAAGGTTTGTGTAAAACATTTAAATAATCTTGATAGGTATTAATTTGCCCAAATCATTATAGTTTGAATGTGACTACCAGCTGTGGTACCTTTGTGTGAAGAGAAAACTCTGTGGCCTCTTATACAGACAGCAGAATCTAAACTGTGTGTGCCTCTTCACTGCTTTTGAACCTCTATAATGAGGAGATCCATCTATTCTTGGCATCAACTCTCTCCATTTAGCTCTCTGAGATTATAAACAGTCAGCACCTCTGGCGCAGTACAATAACAGGAGAACAGACACACACACACACACACACACACACACACACACACACACACACAAATACTTTGTCACTACTTTCTACTTGATTAGCATCTCTCTCTCCCCCTGTGAGGAGCCAGTGCTTCAACTTGATTAGCTGCAGTGTAGGAGAGCTGCTACGCCAACAGATTGTGGTGCACGAAGCTGCGTAATTAGCAGAGAGGTTTCCAAATTTAAACCTGTTTGGCTGCAGGGCCCAGCACACTGAGGTTCCTGCTCAGCTCAGCTAACATGCTAATGAGCACACAGATTCATTCATAAAGCTTTGATGCTGCGTTCACCAAGGGGGCTTTTGAAGGCATGAATAGGAGATGAGTGCTCGGCTTCATAGGAATGCACTGTAATCAAGTGTAAGAGCACAGACGCCCACGGCTTTGACTCTCACTAATGAATGAAGTTTATAAAGTTCTGCAAAGGCAGCTAGGTTCACACACCATGCTACAACATGATGTTAAAAGTAATGTAAGCTACATGTAAAGAAATAATTAATGGCAGTGATTTCAAATTAGATTCAGTACGGCACATTATGTTCTTGTGTAGTTATAATGTCATAAACCTGTTCTGTCCCCTAGTCTCATTCTCCTGACTCATAGCAGATGCTCCAGGTGTTTTCCTCTCAGGTAACCCAGTGTTCTCCCTGCAGGATTTATTCCATCGCCTCAGTTTCCGCCCGTTACAGTCAAGCCCTTGCCGAGCTCACATAATGCTGATTAAGCAGTATACTGGAGTTTTTAAATCTGGTCTTTTCCTGTACTGGTGCACTGGTAGTCATACATTTTACATCAACCAGCAATGACTGGGGGAAGCAACCGTAGCGACACAGTAGGCTACAGCAACTATGGCGGAGCCTATGGTGGAAAATCCTAAGAAGTGTCCAAGAAAGGTTTCTGATGCTCCACATAAAAAGAAACTCGTCGTTCAGAGGAAGGATTACAGTCAAAAACAGAAAGCGCCCTGATAGCTCACCTGGTAGAGCTGGTGCCTCATGTACTGAGGCTGAATCCTTGTGTCATAGATCATGGAAACTATGGATTCGATTCCAACCTTTGGCCCTTTTCTGCACGTTATCCCCTCTCCCCCTCCCCCCCCCCCCTCTTTCCGGTCACTCTTCAGCTGTCATTAAATTATTAAAGGCTATAAAAGCCCAATCAGCCAACTAGACATCAAGTCACTCTGTATGCCATTCAAAATCTGGATAGGATTTTTCTCTGAGTCCTGTCCATCTCACGTTTCTGGGCCCCTTCATCCCTGTTCCCAAGAGCAAGTAGTTCTTGCTAGCTAGTCCCCCAAATCCAGGTCTCTGGAGACTCAAATGACCCACTCTTTTGTTTCCTGGCTGTATGGTTTTCTTGTTTTTACTGCCTTACTGCCTTATTTTCAAGCATGTAAGAACTTATGTTTCACTGTGGCTTGGTTCTCTTTCCCTGAAGGTGAGTGCGCCCAATTTCTTTCAACCTAATTATTCAGAGTCCCTACAGGCTACCTTTACGGAGTAACAGATGGTAGTTTTTCCCTTTCCCCACTGGAGTTGTCCTGTTCACAAGTTGTGCTATCTAGCAAACTTGTTCCCCAGTCAGGAAGCCTGCTTGTCTTCTTATGGGCTAGCTCTACTGCTTTTTAACTCCTTCATCCTTTGTCCCAACAGGCAGTAATTCTACACCTAACAGTTCACAAGCTCTAACATTACATTAAAAACCTTAATACACAGTACTTTACATTACAGGAGGCCATTTTTACCAACAGTTTTAGATTGATTTACTACTTAGTTTTAACTTGTGTGCTCATTTACTTAAATAAAGTGCCGGGCCAGACTGTATCTACATATACCCAACTGTAAAGCTAAATAACAAAAATTACTTGATTACCCTTACTGATCATAAAGCAGGTGATATGTATACCTAATACAAATTCAATAGTTAACTGTCTAAGATCTGCTGTTACTGTTACGTTAGTACTCTTTAATGACATATTTATGTCAGCTAAATATAATGCACCTTTACTTGAGGGGGAAAATACTACTGTAGTAACTAATATGTACACAACAATGATTAGTAGGATTTGTGCCATTAAGTTGACTGAGGAATGATTCCTTAATTATCAATCTTTATTTCATCTACACCACTCACATATGTTTTTAACAGCCTGGGAATGAGAACAGGAAAAACTATGATTGCTGCAAAACTTGTGAAAAACTTGAAAGGCCCTATCTACAGCCAGTGTTTGGTTTGTCTGATCTGGGCTACTGTAGAAACATGGTGGTTCAACATGACAGACTCTGTAGAAGAGGACCCGCTCCCTCTGGAGATAAAAATGGCTGATTCTAAGGAAACAAAAACACAATGGCTCTTATTTCCAGGTGATTAGGAATATTATATTCAATTTCTGTCAATAGATCCTCCTAAATGTTAAACACTGGACCTTTAAAATAAATCATTTAGAAAACCAGAGTGTGTAAAAGATCAATCAATCAATCAATGTCAAGAAGAGCTAATAGTGACCCAAAATATGTAGGCTGAAGCTGCATCTTATTAAACATATCATTCTCACTTTACTCTCAAAATTACTCTAACAAAAGCACATTTTCTGAACAAGCCACACAGTTCAGATAATAAGTAAAGGTAGGGTATGCATAAACTAGAGCTGCAACAATTAGTCAATTAATCAATTTTGATAACTGATTAGGGATGCATGAGGATATACGCACGTTATCGGTATCGGCCAATAAAGGCTTCAAATTGAAACCCTGGATCAGCAATTTCTTCCGATATGACAGGTCGATGACGCTTGAATTATACCATTAAGCTAAATGCATAATGCTGTGCCAGCCAGATGACGTCACCACATCTGTGAGCATAAAAGAGGGACAAGCATGACTGTGGTGTGGAGGTCAAAGTTTCAGAAAGAGATGCTATTTGAAATGATTGCTCAGTGTCGGTCATTCCATCCACAATAAAAATTTAGTAACCCATCTTAAGAGCTGTCATCCCGATCATTACAATAGATTTGTAAAAAAAAAATGAAGAGAAACAGAGCTGTCAGCAGCTTCTTCTCCAGTCTTTAAAAACAGCCAAAAAAATATGACCACAACTCCCCAGGGCCAAAGGCATCAATCAGAACCTAATTTAGTGTACTGCTCTGGACAGATATCTGTTTGTCTTTGTTGAAGAGGTCGGGATTTGTAGACTACATTAAGTCACACGCTATACGATGCCTAGTCACAGGTATTTTTCAGATATGGCCTTACCTGAGTTGCAATCTGTCATCCTATTTTTTAATACATTTATTCAGTTAATATATCATTGAGTTTAAGCAATGAGCTGTAAAGCATATGTAGGCATCAATGTTAATGCTAATAATAATCAATGTTATTTCAGTTGGCTTTAATTGCTGTACAGTTGTAAAATGACATTACTTCCACATGATCCCTTTGAACAGAGACAACACTTATTTACTTGTTTTGCAACTTGTGAAATAGGTCAAATTTGCCCTGTTTATTGTCAGGATTGTCTCAGGGACAGCGTCATCCAAGCCTGTTAAAATATGAGGAACTTTACAGTTTGAAGGGGAAAACCGGTATGTACATTTTATGTCTGCGTGTGTCAGTGAGTCAACACAATAAGAGTGAGCATAATAATATGTGAATTACAGTATAGGAGAGACTTGATTTTCTCTGCAATAAGGTTGAAATCAAGTATGTGCATAAATCAGCATCAGTAATCATCCAAAATTAGCTGTAAAATATTCATTTTCAGGTTTCTTTCGTCCTCTATGACAGTAAACTGAATATCTTTGGGTTGTGAACAAAACACAACATTTTTGTCACTTTGACATGGTATGCAGAATCACTATAAATAATTACTTCTATAGTATCAATGACCTAATTGTTTCAGCTCTACTCTGAAAGAATTGTTAGATACTGGCAGTGGTTAAGAGTAACTAAGTACAGTACTGTCTTTAAGTACAATTTTAAGGGACTTAATTATATCAGTTTAATGTTACTTTACTCTACCATCTACATTTCAGAGAAATATATTGTATTCTTTGCTACAATACATTTATTTGATGGCTACTGTTACTTTCAAGATATTTTTTTATTCAAGACATTTAATCATCTTACAAATGCCAAAGCTGTATATAGTAGTCACGATTCGCTCTAGCTCCACTAGCTGCAACATTAAAATGCTGCTTACATTTCAATGTGTTAATAATAATAACAACACAATAATATAATACATAATGATGTAATGAAACTTTTTTTAAAAAGATCCCCTCTGTATAATGAGTAATTATTATATCTTGTCGATACTTTAAGTACATTTTGTTGCTAAAAGTAGTAAAGTAAAACCTTTTGAATCCTTAATTAGTGGTATTGCTAAAGGATCTAAAGGATCTGACTACTGCTCTCACCACTGGATTCTAGGTCACTGAATCCAGCTGTCTGCTCTCAAGTAACTTAACATTTAACTTAAGTAGTAAAACTACAGGAACTACTAAGTTAAGCCGTTCAATAATTAGTCCTTACAGGAACCAGTAACTACTCAGTAACAAGGTAATTTGTCATTTTACAACGCAGTGCTGCATACTAAAATTCAGGTTCCCTTTATGTAGAAATAAACTTATAAATGATAATATTGTTTATCTACAGTCTTACTCTGTTCAAAACGTCCTGAACGCATCCAGGTGACAGTAACATCATCAACGTGTTGTCATTTCAGCACCAGCTCGAGCGGAGAGCGCCATTCCTGCATCTGCGCGCGCACACCGACCGACGGCCAAACAGTGAGCGAAGTGTTTCCACTGGGCGTGCTGGCAATGAATGACACAGTTTATCCACCCGAGAGGAAAACATGTTAACCGCCAGCAAACACCATGGCTGCAAAACAGAAGTAACGTAGGTCCGCCTGACTGGGCCTACGTGGGTCTAATGTCCGCGGAAGGAGACGCGAATGTACCCTCTGCCCTTTCTCTCAGTGGTCTGTGGTCTTCACTCCCCAGTCCGTCCCACCGAGGGCCCTATGTAAACACTGTAAACAGCACATTTTATCCAACGACCAAGCAAGTCGCTACGTGTCACTGTCACTCGTTACTGTTACCAGTCAGACGCCATTGTCAGCCAGCCTCCTACCTTGTCCTTGGCCACAACAGTCGGGATGGACGGCAGCAGACCGTTGATGCTGTGACCCGCCATCCTCTTCCTGCCTCCGCCGCTCGTCATATCGTTGTAGAAGTAAAGCGCCACGGCTCCCCCCGTTGCAAGACACATCCCGACAGCCAGACACCTCCGTGCCCTTCCTCCACTGGCCGTATGACCGCCGACGAGCTCGTTTCTCGCCGCCGACCAGAGGGATAGCTTACCGGCCAGCGATGCCACTCTGCGGAAAGCGGCCATTGCTGCTGTTGCTGCTGCTGCTGCCGCTGCGCTGCTGTGATTATAACTTTGCATTAACTATCGCGGTTCCTCGCTGTCATCGCGAGATGTGCGGTCATTGTGTTGGTGCTGAGGCTGAGGGCAAAGTCTCATACTGAGTAGAGAGGATCTGATGCTTCACTGACTGAGAGTGAGTGATTCATTTGAAACCGACGTCATTTATAAACAGGAATGTAGTCAGTCAGTTGAACAGTGGACTCAGTTCACCCGGTTTACATTAATAGAGTTTAACCAATCACATTCAGTAAAAATAAAATTCATATGAGATGACTTTAAAGTTGATACATCGAATCTGTCTGTCGACTGGAGATCATATTTGACTACCAGTGGTGGATGAAATAGTTTTAAAATACTAATTATATGTGTACTTTAGTAAAATTGGCCTACAAAATGATTATCTGCACTTAAATATCAAAAGTAAAAACACACAGTAAGCAGAAGGAATGCCCCTGTCAGACTTATTGTTAATTATATTATTATTGATGTGTTACTGCATTAGCTGTATTTTCATGTTGATGGAACTGAAGCTTTTGTTGTAGGCTGCTCTTAGGTTATATTTTATAAACTGATTAGACATAGGCCTACCACATTTTCTTCTCAAATGTATAAAGTAACATAAAATGTAAATAAGTAAAGAACCACCCCAGAGTTGTATTAAATGTACTTTACTACTGCACAAGGCTACTCTCATGAGGAACTGGCAAACTGGCTGCATGTTGTGACACACATGCAAAATCTGGTAAATCACATTCAAAACCAGTCAGAGAGAGCCACATTTGTTAAGTCTATGACCTCAGATATTTCACAACAAGTCTACAACTTGGAACAGACTTGAAATACATCTCAGTTTACATGGGGGAAATTACAAGTGGCCAATGATATCAACATTTGTCAATCTTCTTCTTTTCATTGAGGGTCAGTGTGGTATCAAATTTCCAGTGGGAAGTGCAGGATCAAAGGAGCCAATGGAGAGCAGATATCAAACGAATATCAAAGTTGAACTCTTCATTTAAGTCTTTACATGTAGGACTAATGTTAAACTGATGGGGCTTTTCTTGTGACTTTGATGCTAAGAGAATAAAGGGGAGAAGTCTAATAGATGGGCCTGTCACCTGTTCACACATGAAGTGAGGTGGCTCACCCCAACCTATAAGCTCCATTTAGCCAAAAGTTGAAAACAGATCAAACAATGACTACCAAAACCCACTTGGTAGAATGAAACCCTTAAAAGGTCAATTATATACCTATTAAGCCCTTCATTTGTCGCTTTGATTTTTATATTGTTTGTAAGCCAAACAAGATCAGCCTATTATGGTGACTATCATGACAATGAGATCCCTAATTGGTTAACTAATAGAGACAAAAATGTTTAATAATTTATGTAAAATTGACCTGCAAAGCAAATCCTCAGAAGTTGATTGCCCACAATTTTGACAGCTAATTTAACACCTTTGAAAATGCATCATTGACTGTTTACATACTTAAAATAATTTACATGTAACAGATCTCCAAACAGAAACAACCTTGCACACCACAGTTTGTCTAATAAGGCACAAAGCCTTTGTTGTGGTTGATTTTTAAACTCAGGACTTATCTAGGAACATAAAAATCTCATATGCTTATGCATTTCCTAACTGCCATATAGATTACGTATATATATTGATAGGAGCCTTCTGAATCCTGCTCTCAAGGACCCCTGGAGTTCCCAGACCCTGGTTTGGAAACCACTTGCATTAATAACCTCTAGGCTACTTATTCAGTTATTCCATTACCCAGGCATTCGATTAGGTTGTAATTTCTTTGTGTGTGTGTGTGTGTGTGTGTGTGTGTGAGTGAGTGAGTGAGTGAGTGTGTGTGTGTGTGTCTGTGTGTGTGTGTGTGTGTGTGTGTGGGTGGGTGGGTGGGGGTGGGGGGTAGAACCCTTGGGAGGCTCCTCCTCCATGACTGCTACATGGTTGGCTTCACTCTGTCACAAACAGAGCAGTAAACCTATAGAAAATATATTTTAAAGCAAACCATGTGACCCTGGGAACTGGTTACTTGCACCTTGTAAGCTTGCGTGGAAATTGCGTGGCATTGTCGTTGACTTCATTTCGGCCAGGTCGATATCCAATGTATCAGGATCTGATCAGCCTGGAGGCGATCCCGATCGATCTTGTCTCCTTTAAAAAAAAAAAAAAGTTCCCTTTTTTCCCGCTGGTCATAAATACTAATGAAGCGAGGGAAAGAGGGAGAAGGACGGTCGTCACACGCATAGATGCCCACTCAGTTTGTCTGTGTGTCACACACACACACACACACACACACACACACACACACACACACACACACACGCTCATAAGCAATGTACACCCACAACAATATATATATACAAATAGACCAACACAACAGCAAAAATAAATAAATAAATACGGTTGTCTCACAATGCCAGTGTCCTCCTGTCATGCTGGAGAAATCGACACACACACACACACACACACACACACACACACACACACACACACACACAGAAACACCTCTGCACCTTCAACTCATTTATCAACGCAGCTCCCAAGGGAGGGGGCAGCTGTGTGCGCGCGTGCGTTTGAGTGCGCATGAGCGCGTGTCTATATGGCTGCCAAAATCAATGCCATATAGGCTGGACATGGGCCTCTGTGACACGGTGCAAATAAAAGCACAGAATCAAACCTAAACTGCTGTTTGACCTCATGGTCAAGCAACGCAGAGCTGAACCAATTATATGGCTTAAATATAGAAAGTGGTAAAATGAAAAAGAAAAAGTCCAAGTCCTTTATTAGGCCTAGTAAAATAAGTTTTAAAAATGCCAACAAAGCATAATTGAATTTAAAATCTTTAAGGGGTTCCTTATAGATCTAAAAGTGAGCAATACATTATGACCAGTCAGTCAGGTCAGTGAACGGTCATTATGATCATTGATGAAATCATGATCAATAAAAAGATATGAATAGCAAACTCCGTTTATTTACATAAAGAATTAACAGCTACTTATTTTCTCCGAAGCCCTTCAAGTGTCGGGGTATTATCTGAGCTCGCAGTTCAAACAGGTATATTCCCTTCTTCTGGCTGTTTTCGCCTGATCCCCTTACAAGATCCCAGCACTTTGAAGCATCTGTGTCTTTGATTCGTCTTTTTAAGACCACAATTAAGGATATATGGGCTCCTGCGCTGTTCAAAGCATCGTGGAAAGATCAATGAAGGGATTGACAGTCAAGTGATGTCGTTTGCACAGGTGTGTGTGGGTCCTGGGGTACGATTGTGTGTGTGTGTGTGTGTGTGTGTGTGTGTGTGTGTGTGTGTGTGTGTGTGTGTGTGTGTGTGTGTGTCTGTGTGTGTGTTTGTGTCTGTGCGGCGCTGTAAACGTGCGGCTGGGTTACATAAAACAGGGCCAATAAATCAACAGCAACAGAGTGCGAAAATTACGCAAATGGGGGCTTTCCTCTCTCTCCCGCCGCACCTGAGTCATTTCGAAATGGGGGCGTGTGGTTGTAAAGCGTTTAGGGTAATGGCAATATCACTTTCATGCTGTTTGACACATACACACACTCTCTCTTTCTGTCTATGTCTATTTCACACAAGTTGCTGTTGAGCTGCGCACTCCCCTGTGACTCGGTTCAATGTAGAACAGCTGAGGTGTCCACCGGCACCGGTATGACATTGCGACTGTACAAGAGCTTCAGTGAGGCCGTTGTGCTGCAAGGGGAAACGGGGGAATATAAGCCTGTCAGGCAAATTTTTATTAGTAGTTTTTAATTTCCTCTCCAAGTCCCTGCGCTCTCTGCACTGAAACTGAACATCAAAGGTGATGTAGGAGCACTATGAGCAGAGGGATCGGCACTATTTCAAACGGGAACAGAAATGAGCCATAAAGGGAGGAGATCGGGGCGCATTTGCATAAAAAGGCAACTCGGGGTGAATTTCCATAGGGAGCAGTGCGTTATATGAGGAGTGCAGTGAGTACTGTTCTCACTGTGCTGCATACTGCTGCTGACAGAGCTACAGGGTACCGCAGAAATAAAAGGCTGAAGTGAATTGAGAAGAGAGAAAGACAGAGAGAGAGAGAGAGAGAGAGAGAGAGAGAGAGAGAGAGAGAGAGAGAGAGACCCTGAAGTGCTCCGGAGCAAAGGGGAGTATCCCGAGGTGAAGAGGAGAGAGAGGGAGCGGGCAGAGGACAGGAGAGAGGGATAAATAGCAGAAGAGAGGAGAGAAGAAGGGACACGGGCGGCTGTAACCGGGGATACCTGCATACATCCAGATAACGCGGGAGTTCAATCCCAATTAGATGACAGTCTAATTAACGGTGCTGGTGACTGCGCAAAAACGCGCACTCATTGGAGATTTTCTCCGCCCGCACGTCCAACTTTTCTTTTTCTCCGCTTCTCGGGCTGACCCCTTGCTCACTGGCTCGTACCGAGACTCTCTCTGCACATTACTTGGACCTCGACTTGGATCTCCTGTGTGCTGTAAACCGGATCGGGTGTCTTATCTGTGATGGGGGCGGCGGCGGAGGTTGGAACCTTCGCTAACGGATTTCTGGACAGCTTTGGCCACACGGGTGCCGCTCCGGCTGCCGTCGGCTCTCATTTCGTTCTCACCCCAGCCGGGGCGGTGGACTATAACTCGGCAACCGGACTGATGATGGGGGGACAGGGGCATCAGCAGGAGCACCTGGTGTCCGCGGAGAGGCTGTCCCGGAGCCTGGCGGACCTCAGCCATCTAAAGGGGATTCTGAGGCGGCGGCAGCTCTACTGCAGGACCGGCTTCCACCTGGAGATCCGTCCCGACGGCACCGTGCAGGGCACCAGGAAGGACCACAGCAGATTCGGTACAGACCCCTTCACATTTATACACATAGTCATCATTATTATTAGTGGTAGCCTGTAGGTCTGGGTTAGTAAGAGTAGTCTATTGTGAGATTTCTGCTCTAGGCTCTATTGTAAGATCATAGACTGACAGGTATCCTTATTGTGGAGGGACTGGAAAACAGACACACA